TCATCCCCCGCCCGACATTGCCCCTTTTATACTTTGATGGTGATCTGATATCAAACAAATTCTCAAATTATTAGTAACATGCAAACGAATCATTGCCAAAAATCATTCCTATGGTGACAAAGTTTCTACTTCAACAATTTCAAAAGTTATTGGAAGCACACAATTATTTCTATCTTGAGTTGTTGCAATGAACAATGTGTGATGATACTTACCATATAAGAACATCCCATCTACTTGTAATACAAGTTTACAGAATTTAAAAGCTTCATGACATTGTTTAAGTGACCAAAACAACCGTACAAAAACTCTAAACCTGTTATCCACTTGATGACCAATCATATACTCTTTCATTTCAATTTTATAAACAAATCTAGGAGTATGTAATTGCATGTATTCTAACCAATGTGACAAAGTAGCGTATGATTCAACCCAATTACCAAAAACTTTAACAATGGCTTTTTGCTTTGCCTTACAAGCTTTTTTATATGAAATTTTATATCCAAACTGAGAACTTATTCGCTCTTATATCAATGAAATATGTACTAACGGTTCTTCGTTCATCATTCTTACATAAAATTAATTTGATTTAGTTACAAACAATGTAATTGTATACATAATAAAACATAAAATTATTAACATATGTAAAACAATTATCTTACCAAGAATGTATGAACAAATTAAATTTGAATCTAACTTTTGATGATCTTGAGAAATTCTAAGACTGATACATATATGTGAACTACCTCACCTAGTAATTTTCTACTTGTTTGAATTATTTAACAATGAAGCCCTCACTCTCCATGGATAACCAGAGGTATGATTCAAGCATTTCATATGCAAACATGTTAGTTTAGACTCAACTACAAAATAACTTTGATGAATCTTCAATGTGTAATATTTTAATGCATTTTTCACATCTTCTTTACCGTCAAATAACAAGCCAATGAACAAAGGATCTCTTTAAACCCATGAATTGACTTCTTGAAATGTTTTTCATTCATCTCTTGATCAGGATGTTCCCAATTAATATACTTATATTGTGGAGTTACATTCCAAAAAAGAATTACAATCTCTCCTACATTATATTTTGCGAAAATCTTTAACATTAATATTAACATAATTAAAAAAAATTAAATATTATTTCACATTACCTCCTGCTATTTCCTTTCCTTGTATATTTAAGTTGGAATCAAACTCGTCCTCAACATCAGTAGAAGAAGAACTGTCTAACAAAATTTCTCCTTCGTCATCTCCATCACTATAACTATCATAATCTGAGCTTTGATTATCTTTATCAACATCATTCCTAATTCCTTTATTGCAACAAATTTATAACTTTTAATTCTAACAAATACATAATTAATAAAATAATTTCTAAAGTATTTAATATTACCTTGATAGTAATCATGACTAAGAGTGTCATTGTTTTGCAGTGAAAATGATAAATTTAAATTCATCATCTACGATGACACTGATGAACTTCCATCAATAGCAATATCCACATACAATTTTTACCAACTTGTTGAAATGCACTTATCATGCAATCAATATCTTCCATCACAAATAATATTTCCATCAATTAAAAAAAGTGAAATTAATCTAGAAATAACTTGATTATGATCAAGATTAAGTTTCAAATGAATTTTTCTTTTCCAGGCTTTAAAACTTATTTCTCACTTTATTTGAATCACTTTCTTGCTACCTTTAAAACTCACTCCTTCGCTTCCTTCATAGATTCTACTATTTCAATATATAATAATAACAATTCCACTCATCCTGCATTTTTACAAATAAAAATTATTTAATATTTATTTTTCTAAAATAAAATTCATAAAAAATAATAATCATTCACTTATTAATCAATTTATTCAATTGAAAATAAGTTAACAGTAACTAAATCCATACTTTTAAATTAAATTAGCAAAATAAATTATAAAATAAATGAACTAAAACTAACTTGATAACACTCTTGAACTTGCTCTTCTAAATGAAAATGAGAGGTGCGGTGATTATATATATAGTGTGAGTGGGTGCTAGGATATATAGTATAAAAGTTTTGTTATATTATTCATGCAACAGGCTAAAATTGTGCCACATGTTAGATCCTTATAAGCTGTGTAATTTTCATGGTGAAACTCACTTAAATCGAGACATGTGTCACCATCTGAGAGTTTCGCGCTGTGTATAATGAAATTGTCATTTAATTTTGCCAATTATATTGCAAAATTGTGTTGATACTGATACGTGTTTTGATTTTGTTATTTCATATTTTTTGTAGTGAAATTTATTTTTAAAAAAATAAAAATTTAACATTTTCACCGGTCGTTTTAGCGAAACTCTTGCCATGTGGACTGACACACCCCAGACAAGAAAATAATTTCAAAAAATAAGTAAATTAAGAAATTATTTTTAATTTTACAATATTTAAATAAAAAAAGTCAAACATGGAGCTTTCTATCTAATTTTTGTATAACAAATTTAAATTTTACTTAAGTCAATTTTCTAAACCTCAATGAGTGTCTTTGTACAAAAATTACTCCAACTATTTAATACTTGTTTAAGCAGAGTTTGACTCGCTTAAGCAAGTGTTACTCCTATCATGAGTTACTCACTTCAATATTATTTAAGTTAAAATAATTATTGCTTAAGCTAATTTATTGTTTGTTTAAATAAAAGTTTGAAAATTTACTTAAATGAACAAAATTAAACATCTAATTTTTGCATAAATTGAAGCGAATATAAACTTAAAAGAAGGGAGAAAAAAATATTTTTGTTGTAAAAAAAAATCCTCTATTTGAAAAAAAAAGTGAAAATAGAATGATTAACGATTAATTCAAAAACTAATATTAGTCACTTACATGTCAACTTTCTTTTATAAATACATAGGTGTTGTCATTTAATCAGTTGTGAGACCAATGTGATTTTAAATATGTAAATTTTTTTTTCACATAAGAGTCTAAAAAAAGCAGAGTCCTAGGAGGGATATTTTCTTTAAATAAAAATAAAATTTTAATTTGTATAATTGTTTTTTACATAAGTTTTTTAATTTTTTTTATTCATTCAAGTAAGCGAAATATTTTTTAACAAATTTTTTTTCGCTAATTTACCTCTTTTCTCAATAAAGCCTTAGTGATTGTTTTACGGACATTAAATTATTGTTTTTATTTTATAACTTTTCCTATTTTTGTGAATGTTGTATTCGACTAACGTTATTTGATAATTGCAGTAGATTTTATTGTCTCTATAATATGAACACGTAAAATAATATTTTGTAATCATGATTTGTTTTTTAAAATAATGAAATATAACGAAAATAAGTAAGGCTTAAATAAGAAAATATAATCCGTATACGCGTACTTACATTTTAAAACATCAGACTCTTAATCATACAGGTAATAATTTTAATACTTATATATTTTCCCTATTAGGTATCTACAGATTCACGTTTGGATCTATTATTTATATTTTCGTTAACTTAAACATAGTCTCTAATTATAATATTAATATTGTTGATAAAATTAATAAAAATTATATTAATTAGAAATAAAATATACTGAGGTGACGAGTCCAGTATATTCAATCCAATAAAAAGTTTATTTTCTCAAACACTTAGGTGAAACCACTTGTGGCCATTTTGGGTAAGTTTTTTTAATTTGAAGTCTACCCAAACCTCTTAGATCCAGTTAATGTCGCTGGGAGCAAGGTGGCATTGTGGTTTTCAAAAATTGTCTCATGTGTACATGTCTATGATTTTCTTTTTTATGATACCCGACAACCATGTTTTTAATTTGTTCTTACATATTTATAGGCACAAAATGACACACGAGATGTGTGTTTCCTTTATTTGGTCTATCTGTTTCAGTGTTTACTCGTGGAGCTGGCGTCTGGCGATGAAGAAAGGAGTTTAAGGTTGTTCATGAACTGCAAATATATCTGTGCTTCAAAATACAAATATTATATAATATAGTACGAGTGTTAAAAAATATTAAAAATTGCTGTAACGTCTCAAAATTTAAGACCATTTAATTTGCAAACATCAATATGTTCCTGAAAAACCAAAACACAAGGGAGCTGACATATTGTATGGTGGTCGGCCTTGGCCAGATCAATCAATTTTATATATTAAAATTTGATAGTTTTTGTTTTTTCAAAATTAAACTGAACTAAATTAGATCTATTTTGATTAGTTTGACTTTATTCAGCTAATTAATTTGTAACGAAACAGTTTTTCTCTTGAATAAAAACACAAATCTTTTTAGGAAAGAGATGTTAATTACAGTAATTCTTCACTCATTTCAAAATGAACAAATCAAATTAAGACCCTGGAGAAGAGTGAGAGTGCGATTCCAAGTCCTTTGAATTTTTTGACCCTTCTCCCCATGCGCTGCGTACGCGGGTGTCACCCTCCGATGATTGCGCCCTATCTCGTTTCCTCCCCAAAGTCAAACACTCTAAACCAATTTCCACCGTCCGATCCATAAATATTGAAATAAATATATTTTTTTAATTTCTCATTTACATCATAAATATTTTTTAAATATATAAAAAAAGTAATTAATTTAAATAACTTTTAGAATTAAAAGTTGTCTTGATTCTTGAAATAGCAATAGTTCCCCCTTCTTAACGTCAATCATGCAATTTGAGTTCACGGGCATAGAATTTGATATTCCCAGTGAACTTATTATTCTCTCTTTCTTGTTGCCGTTGTCGTTTCATAACAACGAAACAAGACCAATCCACCTCCAAGTAGTAATTACACCCTTGGAACTAGCAATGCAATGAATATATTAGAGGGGTATTTTCTTGAGAAAAAGAAAAGTGGGGCTCACATGCAAGTAAAAACAAAGTAAACAGAAGGGGTGGACCACGCTACACTCACTCTTCCAAACTCGAAAATGAATGGTGATGTAGTGTACAGACCTACCCCCAATAATATCCACGTCAATATCACCTTTATTGAATCTTTTTATTAATCATAAATAACCATCAAAACCGTTGAGTCGGTTTGCACCTGCATTAATCCTGATAGGGCTGAGCACCACTGCGACATCATTTCCAATGCTTCATTCATTCACGAGTCAACCAAACGAAGCGAGCGAGTGAATTTCCATCTGTGTAGTGTTACTGCAAAGTGCAGACACGTTCCAGCATTTTTCTCTCTCTCTCTATCTCTAGAAAAAAAAGTGGGAATGTGAGAGAGAGAGAAGAAGAAAAAGCAGCAGCAGCGGAGATGCCGAACCTATTGACGCTTCGATTTCTTCTGCTGTGGATGGTCTTCCTCTGCTCTGCCTTTTCTGCGCGTTCAGCTCAACGAGGTGAGCTTCATTTGCTGCTCATTTGGGGTTTCATTTGCATTTGAAGTTGAAAACTGAAAAGTTGGTTTATGCATATGGATTTTGAGTTTGGATTTGTTTCAATTTCACTTTGTTTAGCTTTCAATTGATGCGTAGAAGAAAAAATGTGCGCGCGTGTCGCGGGGTGGTGGTGTTGATGCTTGAATCTGAGTAATGCGAGGTTCATGTGATTTCATCTGGCGCAAGAGAGCTAGCTCATAAATTTTGCTTTGTTTTGCTATCATGTGATTTTTATTTTTTTAGTTTAAATCGTGTAAGAGATAAAGCTAGAAGGCCTCGCTGAATTTAAAATTAAAAAGAAAAGAAAAAATCGATAACAACATAAAATTGATCTCTGCAACTTACTATTTGGCTTATAGTGAAGGGTAGTGAAGTTTGAAAGGCTAATGGCAGACATTTATCCGTAGGAGAATATGTTGATCTTCAGGATATTATAAGTAGACACCGTGTCTGAACTCTAGAACAACCTATGTTTAGCCCCTTTTTTTGTTATATGCTATGCTTGGAAAGAACTGGTACCATATTGAAATAATTTGAGTTTACTCTATGCCAGTTTATAATGATTCATGAAATTTTCTTTTTGGTTACACGTTGCACAGATTAATTGAGCATCATCTCAGGGATGTGGTCAAATCATGCCTGTGTGTGCGTGTGTGTAATATATTGACAATCTACAAAATGGGTGTGTAATCTCCTTTACTTGGTTTAAATTTCTGAAACCTCAAATTCATTGCAGGACCATTTGCTATGCGCATAAGCTGTGGGGCTCGTCATAATGTTCAAACAAAGCCAACCACTACCCTTTGGTATAAAGACTTTGGATATACGGGAGGCATACCCACTAACGCATCTAGAACCAGTTATGTTTCCCCTCCACTTGACACCCTTCGCTATTTCCCCTTGTCTGAAGGTCCTTCAAATTGCTACAACATTAATAGAGTGCCAAAGGGGCATTACTCAATCAGGATCTTTTTTGGACTTGTTGCACAGGCTAGAGATACCAGCGAACCTCTATTTGATGTCTCAATTCAAGGAACTCAAATATATTCTTTGAAATCAGGTTGGACCAATCAGGATGATCAAGCTTTCACTGAAGCCCAAGTATTTCTTATGGATGGTTCAGTCTCAATTTGTTTCCATAGCACAGGTCATGGGGATCCAGCAATACTTTCAATTGAGATTCTTCAAATTGATGATAAAGCCTATTATTTTGGATCACAGTGGAGTCAAGGGTTAATACTTAGAACAGTCAAAAGACTGAGTTGTGGTTTTGGGCAATCAAAATTTGGGGTGGATTATGGTGCAGATCCCCTGGGAGGGGACAGATTTTGGCATCATATTAAAACTTTTGGTAAGGATTCTGATCGACCAAGATCTGTTGAAACTAGAATCAAACAGGCTTCCCATCCACCAAACTTTTATCCAGAAACTCTGTATCGATCAGCACTTGTTAGTACTAGTAGCCAGCCTGATTTAACATATACTTTGGATGTGGATCCCAACAAAAACTATTCTATTTGGTTACATTTTGCTGAGATTGATAATTCAGTGACTGCCGTAGGTCAAAGGGTCTTTGACATTATGATAAATGGTGATGTTGCTTTTAAAGATGTTGACATTGTGAAATTGAGTGGGGGTCGTTTTACTGCCCTTGTGCTTAATACAACTGTCACTGTTAATGGGCGGACTTTAACAATAACTTTGAGCCCAAAAGAAGGTGGTTTTGCCATAATCAATGCCATTGAGATATTGGAGGTCCTAGTGGCTGAGTCAAGAACTATATCAGATGAAGGTACATATTCGACCTTTCTATTGGTAATTTTTTCAACATGAATTTTCATAGTGATGTATGATATTTTATTATATTATTAAATGCAATGGGGAGTAAATATGGAGGAGACTTGAATTTTGTAATAATAGCATTGCAATATGGATTATATTTTGGTTTTTAGGCAAGCTAGCAGTAACATTATTTGCATTCTTAGGAACCTACCATCATTGCATAATTGTACAGTTTCTAGCTTCTTTTTGCTTATATTATTTAAAACACCTCAAGATACTTAAATTATTTGGGTCTGCTGATTATGAATGCAACATGGAATTTGTTTAGACTATAGACCAAATAATGTGCTGGTACTTGCTACTTTTAGATGCATTATTGTACTTCTTAAGTCTCTTTTTCTTGTCACATTTCTCCTTAATTGATTTCTGCTGTTGTTCTTGCTTCTCTTCCTCTCAGAGATGACGGTCAAGCCTAGTATTGACAGTTGCTTTATGATACCTGTAATGATAGAAATGGATTTTTCTTAATCCAAATTCATGTAAAATTTTGCTGGTTGATCATTGTTTTTTTACTCTAGTTATGGCTTTACAAACATTGAAGAAGGCTTTGGAGCTTCCTCCCAGGTTTGGGTGGAACGGTGATCCATGTGTTCCTCAACAACATCCATGGACTGGAGCAGATTGCCAATTAGACAAAAGTAGCACCAAATGGGTCATTGATGGACTGTAATTTCTTATTATCCTTATTCTTAGGCTTTTATTGTATATTTGGTTGTGTGGTACCATTTAATTCCATCTTCCTCTTGTTAATTCTTTTACTTGATTTTTTTCTTTCTCATCTCTCTATATCATACTGAAACCAAGAATGATAACTTTTTCTTCAGCATCAGAGCTTCTAAGTATGAATCCCATAAATAAAATAAAATTAGAAGACTTTGGCAATAAGTATGTTTTTGTGCACAATGACGACTTGCATTCAAATACTGATTAGTGTATTTTGTTTTCCATACATGTTTTCTTCACTCATTTGGGAAGTAAAAGTTTTACGTGCTTTATGAAATCAGCCTTTTTATGTTTCTTATTTGAGGGAATAACCCTTTCATGGACCCTCCCCTTTATTAAATTGCTTTGGGCACCGATTGTATTCAATGATCAAAACAAACTTACAGTTCCACTCTGCACTTAGCAAAGAAATTGGTTCTACTAGGGTACAAAGCATTTGTGTTTTGCTTTGAAAGCTATATTGAATATTTAATCTCAATATCTTGATTACTTGGTTGGTGCTGTATCTGTTGATGTCTTGATGAACAGTGGTCTTGACAATCAAGGTCTGAAGGGTTTCTTGCCAACTGACATTTCCAGACTGCATAATCTACAAGTCCTGTAAGTTTTAAATAGTTATCTTTCAGGAAATTATTAATATTTTTGTTATTGCATTGCATGGATGTATGAATTGTGGTTGATATATTGATACCCAGTTTATCAAATTGCGATTGACATGGCAAGTAATGATATTTGAACAATTTGTCTGTCCTTTTTACTTTAACTATTCCCAAGATGTTGAAAAACGAGCACATTCATAGTCCTATTTCCTGTGCTTTTTTTACTTGTCCATCACAGAAACTTGAGTGGAAACAGCATTCGTGGAGCTATTCCATCCTCACTTGGAAAAATAACAAGCTTGCAAGTGCTGTAAGTGACTGGTTCTTGTTCTTCGTAGTTCATATGGCAGATTGATTTAGTTGTCTTTATTCCTTAGCTCATTAACTATATAGTACAACGCCAATATGTGATTCTCGTCTTCAGCTCAGGCTTCGTAGGAATGGATGTGCAAATCCTGTCTTCAATTTTTCAGTGTGAATTAAACCCTAGAGGCATAGTAAGACCTAAGAGACAGGATATACTGAGCATGAAACATAAACATGTACATGCAATTTTTTCACAATACATGTTTGTAGTCCCTAACTTTCATATTTCCTACTTACTATTGGGATTTCATACTTGGACTGTAAACTCTAAATTAAAGAACAAAAAGAACGGGAAGGGAATATGCTCCTCTTATGTAATTTGCTTGTGATTCAGCTTCCTGCTTTGACTGAAACCACTTGATATTGACTTCACTGTTAAATTATGGAAAGTTTTGAATTTTTGCTCTGGCTATAATGATATTATCATTTTGTGCACGTGCAGTGACCTATCCTATAACTTCTTCAATGGATCAATTCCTGAAAGCCTTGGACAGTTGACATCATTACAACGACTGTAAGATTCCTCAGTGTTTACCTTGACCAATAAAGCAGATAAAAGGACAAGAAGTCTGTATTAAAAAGTCTTCATGCAGGAACCTTAATGGCAACTTCCTGTCTGGAAGGGTCCCAGCAACTCTTGGAGGAAGACTTCTGCACAGGGCTAGCTTCAAGTATGTTTTGGTTAAACTCTAGAATGAACTTAAAGAATAATTTTATGCAATGAGAGGAGAAGCATATCTATATGCTATTTCTCTATTCTCTCTTTTTTGTGATCGAGGTTGCTAAATCTACACTTGTGTATGGCTGCAGTTTTACTGATAATCCAGGTCTGTGTGGCATACCTGGGTTACCTACTTGTGGAGCTCACCTTTCTGCTGGTGCTAAAGTTGGTATTGGGTTAGGTGCTTCGTTTGCTTTTCTACTTCTTATTACCTGTTCAGTTTGCTGGTGGAAAAGGCGGCAGAATATCCTCCGTGCTCAGCAAATTGCAGGTAAGAATGCTAATATTTGTGGATTATAGCCATCCTTAATATTACTTGATTGTACTTGAAATCATTAATATACAAGGCCAGTGTTTTATTGTCAGTTTAATGTTTTCCAAACCTAAACTTGTGTCAAAAAAAATTTTCCCTTTCTACTAACTGGTACTGGTGTGGGAAGTGTTTTTTACCTTGGTAATTGTGTGAAGTTCCGTTTGCATTCCTCAGGATTTTGAAACTGACAGGCATATATATGGAACCATTATGAGAATTAGTAATATAGTGTAATTTTATGTCCATCTTGCATCCAAAGTTTTCCCGTCCTGTCTCGTTATACAACATCCTTCTTGTTTCCCGACAGAAACATTATGTTTCTCACTAGTTCCAGTACAAGAGAAATTTGAATTCGTGGGAAATTTGTCACTCCAAACTTGGGTTGCATCAGGGAAAATGGTGGAAGTCCACAATTAATCGAGCTAAGCATCGAGAAATTTATACTATCTTGAATGAAAAATGTATACTCATGATTTTCTTCTGCAGCGCGGGCAGCTCCATATGCCAAAGCAAGGACCCATTTTTCACGTGATATCCAGATGACAAGGCATAATAATTATGGCAATGCTCACAATGCTGCAGAGAACGGGCCTATATTGCTTTCATCATAACATCCCATTTTTCTGGTATCCCGAGGACTATCCTATAATATTTCTGTTTTTCCTATCTGAAATTAACATTTTAAAATTAAAGTATCCTATTTATGTGGCACGAAAGAATGGCAGGGTAATTTGATCTTCTGATGGCTGTTCCCGTGCTTCCCCAAATATTGACAGTTTCTTGGACCCCGTGAACCACACCTCACAAGCTGTTAACCCTTGTAATTTGTAAATCAAAAATTTTTGTACATCATCTGTACCTTTTTTTTATTTCCCACACCTTGTTTGAACTTCTATACATAAATTTTTTTCTTTGTTTTTAGTAGAGGATTTGCAACATTTTAAAAGTTGAAATGGAAATAGAAATCATATTGTTCTACAAAAGTAGGATAATCGAGGTTTGATTTAACATAATACGTGCCACAATTTTCCTTTATATCTTGTTTATATATTTTTATCTTATGCGTAGATCATTCTAATGGGCAGTATGGCTGTTTATGCGTGATGAAAAAACAACTGAATTGCCAAATTAGCGTCATTGTTTTTCTTTCTTGTGCTATACCATTTTTTTTAATGAAAGGCTGTGCCAGATTTGCATCAGTTGAAAGACGATTTCTAAATTGAATTGGGTAAGAAAAACAATTCATAATACCAAAATAAAACCCAAACCATTTCAAACTCGGTCTGGTTTTGATCTCTTGATCTGGTGTTCCATGATTAACCTGTCGAATTTTTTATATATACAATTAAGAATATGTTGAAAACCTAGAAGTCCTAAACCAAAATGTCAAACATGAAACAAAGTCAACTTATTCAAGCACGGTCGGGTTGTATTCTCAATTATGAAATTGATATGGATTGGGTTAGTTTGTTAACTACTAAGATTAGGCCTGATGAAGTCCCAGTATATAATCAATGAATTATTTGTAGTTGATGTCCATTAGCGCTGCTCATGCGTGTGGTATTGTTCTTTTAGGCACTGGGCCCTGCGTCTTTCTCTTGAAATACTAAATACTACACACGTGAAGGTAGCTTCAAGATTGTTTCAATTTTATTCTTTGATGTTGGATTTTGTGAGATGTGGACCCATCATAACACAGAATAAAACAAGAGGGGCAGGGGAAGGCCTTTGGTTTTTCTTTTTCTTTTTCCTTTTCTAGTTTTTTTTTATATTTTAAATCCACAAATTTACTCACACATAAGTATTAATTTCCTGCAGCATTCCAGGCATGTAAGAAATCGACAAGATATTTTGGTAAGATAAAATAAATATTTTGATAAATAAAGTCACAGAAGAGGGGGGAAAAAGCACTATATCTTAACCAAATGCAGGGTGATAATGTCAATTCAATAATAAAAAGGATTAATTAGGATTTTTGAATTATAATAGATTGTAATTAGTATAACCCAGTCGTTATTAAATCGTGTATGATCAAACTAAAAAAAACTAGCATAATTTCCTTCTTTTTACATAAAATTGTTATTTTGTTTTGATTTTTCAATATTTTTATATATTATACGTGTGTGTGACATTACATTTTATCCTTGTTTTTTAATATTATTATTTTTGGACAGACAATATATATCTTTCACAAAATACAATCCCTATCGAGGCAAAAACGTTCACAGTATGATTAAATTAGCTACTTTGTAAAATTCCTTAACTAAACATAATATAATTGTAAAGTCTTCAAGAAGTAGCTCGATATCAACATCAAATTTCTTTTAAAAAAAGTATAATGTTTTTTCATTAAAATAATATATAAGTGAAACAAGCTAGTACAGCTATCGGTAATTATTTCAGAGTAATAAAAGGATTGAGTATTACTAGTCATGTCTCCCTACCGTCCACGCAGGAGGAGGCATTTGTTTGAAAGCTAAACACTAAACAAAAACATCAGAGCACAAAAAGGAAGAAAAAAAAAAAGTTGCCGTCCTATCATATCATCATCATCACCGTCATAGACAATACAAAGTGAAACCAAAAGGCAAATTAAAAAAACAGAAATAAATGAATGAATAATGAATAACCCACTTGTCTTGGTGCAGGAGAGAATCAACCAAGATGGTCCAAACGCAACCCCCAAAAGTGTGTGCCGATAACTTGATACGCCATTTTGGTTTTTATTTTTTTTCAGATTATTTTACCCTCTATCGATTATCAAGTATCAAGTATTAATCTTTTATTTCTAATCATTGCTAAACGGAAATTTAGATTTTTTAATATAGTAATTAATATATTTTATAAAATATGAATTAATAGAAAAGGGCAAAAAAGAAAAAAAAGGAAGTAAAAGGGGATTCACGTGACCATTATTACATCCGTATCTGTAGGCATATAAACTGTGGCGGTCTGCTTGGTGCAGTGACTCTGAATCCGCACCCCTGTCTTTCACAACTTTTAAAATTAATTAATTAATTAATTTAGAATTTGAAGAAAAAGGTAAAATTGTTATAAAAGTGAAAAAAGAGGGAGTGAGGGGAGAAGAGGGTGAAACGAAGGGAGGAGTGTGTGGGGGCAACTGAAGCTGTTCCCTGCAACTGAGACACACTTCCACGTGGGAGTCTCTGTCACTGCACCAAACCCAATCCCACTCTCACACCTCATCATATCCCCACCCACCTTTCCCTTTCATTACGTCAACTCAATTTCCCATAAAACCATCAAATACCCCCTCCCTCCCCACTATTTAAAAAATATAAATAATTATTATAAATTTATTTATTGATAACATTAGACACAATGTTTAAAATATCCTAAGTAGGCAGAAGAATAACCATCGATATTATGTTAATAAACTATTATTTTTAAAATTCATATTTTCTATTATTATCAAAACAGGCGAGTCCTTATTAGGTGGGGATAATCAATGTTCTTAAAACATTACTATTTATAAATATGTTAAGGACTCTCGGTTAAAAAATATATATAAAAATTCATCAGTCGGTGCTTTCAGAACATGGATTAAATATTAAATAATTTAAATAAATATATTTGAATATAAAATAATTATGTTAATGGGAAAAAGATGAATTAATTTAGAATAATGTGAGGGCGCCGCTGAGCAAACGTCGTACAAAGCAGTAGGGCATACGTCACTCCTCCCCGTCCTCACACGTCTCATCAGCCGCCGGCTCTATCACTGGGTCCCACTCCCGAAATCACAGCCGTCGGATCCCGCGACCAACATCAACGGCTCTCGTTACAAACAATCCATTTTATCCAAAATCATGTTCGTGCTATGCCACTGTGTAACTCTGTTGTGTGGTGTTGTGTGTATATATAAATCAAAAGCCAAAGCATTAAAAAGAGAGAAGAAGCGTAGTGCCGCCCAGCCGACAATTACGGGAGCTTACGTGGGTCCCTCCACTTTTATATTCACTCACTACACTCTTCTCTCATTCTTCACTTATCCTGTGTTTCGTTCGGTGTGTTCATGGCTTCTTCTTCTTCTTCTTCCGCCTCTCGCGAGGGACACTACAGAGGGGTAAGGAAGCGACCATGGGGACGCTACGCCGCTGAAATACGCGACCCTTGGAAGAAGACACGTGTCTGGCTCGGTACATTCGATACTCCCGAGGAGGCTGCGCTGGCCTACGACGGCGCCGCTCGTTCTCTCCGCGGAGCAAAGGCCAAAACCAACTTCCCTCCGGCGCCCACTCTCTGCCTCGACCTCAACGCTCCCTCCTCCGATCATCCTTGGTCATCGCTCCCCTCACGCGGTCTCGTCCTCACCGAGTTTCTTCACACCGGCGTTCTCAAAGATATCACCGCCGTCGATCCACCTCATCCTCCGCCGCCCGCGCCGGCTACTTACAGCCGTAGTGTTGGTGTCGGAGCCGGGCCTCAGGTGACGGAGAGTTCCCCGACGGCGTCGCTTTTGGGTCTGGTTCGGCGCGGGATCCCCATCGACTTGAACGAGCCTCCACCGTTGTGGCTATGAGTCCTAACTCTCTATATTGTAGGTTTTGCACGGCGTCGTTTTGCGCTCCCTCTTATCTAATTAATCTAGCGTGTTTCTCTTTATTTTTAAATTTCCCTCGTCATGCTTATGTTTTAAATAGCGTTGTACGTTATCGTAGAGGGAGTATCTATCTGTCCAAGTGAGTCTATCTAACATTTAGATAAATGAAAAACCTATGATATTGTATATATACATTTATTTTATTTCCATATCAATGTATTTTCTTCCGTTTAAGCCAGAATTGTACTTTGGAATGTGTTGGGGGATTAAACATAAATAATTATGGGGTTTCAAATAATGCGACTTGTGGTTGCGCAAATGTTTCTTAATTGCAAAGGGTGGTTCAGTTTGTTACGGTTGATGCGGTTGGGACCACTTAGGAAAGAGACAGAGCGCGAGTGAGGCTGCTCGCGCGAGTGGGACTGCATTTCTGTGGGGAGCGGGAACTGCGAAGTGAGCGTGTGGGTATCAGCATGATGGCATTCCCTTTCTAGTCAGAGGCCTGGTTCTTGTCATTTTTGCAGCGTATATTTCCACCACTTTTAGACCCATTCGCTATTCTCAGCGCGTGGCCATTTTCTAGACCTACCTATTTTTTAATTATTTTTTGCATTCATATACTAAATTTTCTTAAAAGAGCTTCCTATTTTTATTCGTTTAGGTGGCATTTTTTTTCCTTTTTTATTACGTCCCGTAGACTAAAATTCATCTTAAGCTAGGTAGTATTTCATAAAATTTTTATTTCAATTTTAAGATTTGTATATTTTATAACATGCTGAGATTTTAATTGATTTTAATATGCCGTATAGTCTGAGTATATATTTTTTTTGTGCAAGTATTTACATGACATCTATGATGTTGAATACAAAAAACTATCATTATTTGTATACTAAATTTTGATATCTTTTCACTTTCATGTAAGTGTTTTGACATTGAAAAATTCTTCAAATAATCCTATTATGATAATTTACTCTGAATGGCATTTTATAAAATATTATCATTTTTGTAACAATAAGTCATTAATTTTTTTAACATTTTGCTAGTTCTCGTTTTCGGAGTGGAAAAAATGCAAATGAAATAATCACGGTCTGCTCAATTATAATACCTATAACCTTTTGCCCCCAAATACAAAACTCAATTGAATTATTATGAAGTTTGTAAATATCGCAATTTTATAGTACAGTGTTTTATAGACATCCAAATTACAAAGAGTTCTCCAATTTCCATATTTTATCTAACAATTTGGTACGTAAATAATAATAAAAAATATTCCTTAAAAGTTAAACAATTATATCCTCTTAACTTTATATATATATATATACCTTTAACTTAACCTTTTGCCTGTGTTATTATTACCAAACAGTGGTAACTGATGTTGGAGTGGTAACTGATAAGACTAAAATGGGCAGTCAGCACAACGCTCGTGCTTTCTACTGTCTTTTCTTTTGCCCTCAGTTTTCTTTATGGCCAGCAATTGGATTCAGATATTAGTAAGGTAAGGTAGAATAATGTGTAAAGTGGATAAAGTCGAATTAGAACGACATAGGTCAAGAATTATCTTAACTTGTTTAAATAAGTAAAAAAATTATAAATTGTGCTTTTTGTTATAAAATTTCTTCCTTAATAGTTTATTAAAATTTTCAATAAATAAAATACCATGTAAGACTAAAAATATTAAAACAGAAAAGTAAAAGATATCCAACGTTTCTTCTTTAAATTTCTCCCACTTCTGTAGAAAATTTATTATAAGTCAGCCCCGACTCTTCCTTTCTATCTTCATTCAAATAAATAATTTGTATTCAAAGAGTCTATTGTTCGTAAGCCAAATAGAATATCCAATCACCTTAACTCAATCTGAGAAAAAATATGGATTAACTTAATCTGTCTAAAAATGTAATTTACAAAAGGGTTTGATTAGCTTCAACGTTCAGAGTAAAATTAAATATCTAAAAATGATTAATATTTATTAGTAAAATACCATTGTTATTAGTCATTTTAAAATAACTTTAGATATTAAATTTAACATTTTCCTTGAAATTTTTTTTAAACCTGATCAATTTAGATAAGTGTTGAGTTTGTCGTACTTCTATCTAACTTGAACCAAGATATTAATCATTGTTATTATTATACACAATAAATCATATATAAGATTGTACACCTTTTTTTTTTCTAATTCTAAAATAAAATTGCATGTTTCTTTTTAATATCTAATAACCCAAAATGTTTTAGTTAATGATTTTTTAACAGTCATTAATTCCTCTCGGTAACAAACACACCGGAGCAGTCACATTTGTAATTATTATTTATATAATAAAATTTTAGAAAATATCTTCAAATGTTTAAAATTTTCATTGAGAAACAAATTTTGTGAGCATGAACCAAAAATGAAGAAGAGATCTTGAATAGTTGACGTCATGAACGGAAGAGAAATTTGCAGTGTTACGTGGTTTACGTCTGCATTAATGGGGTCAAAGTATAGAGATGTCTCAGGCTACGGATGTGACGGAAGGAAATGAAGGAGGGCGTGGTTATGGGTGAACCCTATTCATTGTTCCTTGCTGCTCAATTGGTAACAGTCCCCACTTCACTCGTGCCTTGTAAATTATGTTCACCCCTCCACTGTTTACTTTAGACCTTTTAATATATACGAGATAGTAAAAATTATTCATTAAAAATATAGCATGTAGTTAATAATAATTTTGTTAAAATTAATAAAAATAAAAATAGTGTTATTTGAATAAGTAAAGAATATTTTGTTTGAGTGTTCTTAAAAGAGGAAGGGAAAATAATGGGAATGGGGATGAGAGGGATTAGCTTGGGTTTTTGTGAGGCGATGCAGTGATAATATAATGGCAAGAATGTGACGGATTCAAAGCCAGTTGTCAGAAACTATTATGAGTACACAGTTGAGTGACAAAAAGACGCAAACTGCAAAAGTGCAATCCACCCACCACCTCCATTCCACCCACACGCAAACACCACCCACTTCTCATTTCTCGTTTCTCTCTCTCCCACAAAACCAGTTTTAGTATTCTTTTCATCTTTCAATAACTTGAATTTTTAAAAAGATAAAAAAAAAGAAACGGAGAGAGAGTGAAACGTCAGAATAGAGTGAAGGAGGAGCATTGATGACCATGCATCACTGCTTCACCTGCGCCCAGCCGGCCGTCATTTCACACCAAAACCATTCTCTCTCTCTGCCGTGTCTGATTTGACCCTTCTTCCATGTGGTCCCAACAATTCACGTACTGTGTTTTTATTATTAGGGGGCGGTGCCTTCGTGGGTGTGGGACCCACATCCCAAACACCAAAACGTGGCGTGTTTCTGGCGTCAACTGAACCCCCATCACCACCGAATCTGTCGCCACCACACACGTCACGCTCCTCTCTCTTACATTACCACACGCAAACTATTTCTTTTTTCCGATAAATATAAAATAAAAAAAACGTTCCTGTTTTCTTTGGTCGTGCCCCCCTCGTTGTTGTTTGTCATTGTCGCTGTCGCTGTTGTTTTGTCGTACTTGGGGTGGCGCCGTTTGCTGTCCATCATTACCATTGACTGCGGCGGCGCGCCGATGTCGTTTTAAACATTCATTGGTTCGGGGAGCATGTGTGAACTCATCAACCACTGCCGTTCTTGTTGAATACTAAAACACTAATTCTTTTTTATTATTAATTAATGTATTAAAACGAAGAATGGCATTGGTCGTTCACACGCGATGCATCATGTACGCATGCTATATCATGCGATCCATCGTAGTGGGGTTTAGTTGTCGTCTGGGCCTATACGGCTATACCTCCTGTTGGATAGAATACCGTCCCATCGGCATCAATGATGGTGGTAATGGAGGGTCTAGAGCCATCCCTATTGTCACTTTCTTCCTTTCCATTTTTATATACTTTCCTTCAAAATATCATAAAAAATATTGTATGAAGGTATCATGTCAAGTGTGTTATTTACATTTTATTTTGCGATTGCTCGAATTCATCATTTTCAATTTTTATGTCGAATGTAATTTACCAAAATAACATTTTGATCAAAGTCATGTTTTTAACTTTACATATGAACTAGGAATCTGTAAAATTTGAAGTCCCTAGGGCCTACATAACACTTGAACTTTTCATTTGGAACAAAGTATCCTTTGTAGAAAGCCGCCCAACCGGCCGTTCATTCTGTTCATGTGAGTGGTACGATGCGCGTTGTTTGACTTGAAATTTTTTGGGGACTTAAAAGTTTAACATGTTACTGGACGAAGGCAATCCCACCCACAGATTCTGAGGGCCCATACACCAATATATGCACGGTTTGAAAAACAAAGTGAAAGTGCCTTCTTACTTTGCTCCAACAAAGCTTACACTTCCAAATACTCAAAAAACATAGTAAATGCTTTTGTCCATACACGAATATTGCTTAAATTCTTCTCTACAAGTTGATAAGCAATTTCTTCAGAATTTAAACGTTATTCATGTGTACAAGTCCTAATCACCCACAAAATTATTCCCACTTAACAGTGCAATAAGCTTCTTCGTTTGAGTTTACAGAAACTTGCAAACGAGCAAAGTCAAATTTGTTCAACTAGGACTGTTGAGCAGGTAGGTCCAGTTCGATTTGTTGCTTTTTTGTCAGCTTGACTTACGCTGATGTTAGTTCATTGGACTTGAACAAATCACGCAATTAAGGTGCATAAATATTAATTTAAAGGACTAATTATATTTATTTATCGTAAAGTTAGTGCATAATTATATATTTGATACCCTCTTGCTTTAAAAGTTATATGGTCCCATCTTTTAATTCATTTATTATTAATTATGGTAAATTGATGTTTTAGGAAATGAAAGAGTATCCTATACTCATTTTAATAGTAAAATAGACATAAATATTTTTTAATATCTTAGTATAATTTAAAAAAATATTCAATATTTTTTAAGTTTAAAAGCTGTGTAACGAACACCATTACTATACCAGATACTTTTTACTATTTTTTTTTCTGTAGATATCTTTTACTATTTGAAATATTATAGTTA